AACTTAACATAATTAGACCCAATATTTACAGTCATTTCTTATACACCACCGAGGAATATCGAGGAAGCAATATTTCATGATGGCACACCATCAGGTGGATTGTACGGCCCACTCGATGTTATTTATCGCTGTCTGTACAACAATAACGATATCGAGCGCATGGTGTGTATGGCCAGGTGGTCGACACAAAGAACTGGCCGTCACCACCGGCTCGGCCGCATGAAAGCCCGAGTGCCTCCTTGAAGCTTATTTTCATTTACAATATTTTAGAGTACTCAGCAAGCACGCAAAGCCCGACCATCGATGATATATCGAACAAAAGGAAATGCCAATATTCACGCTGCACGACGCTGCGATGTCTGTACAATAAACGACAAAGAATAAATCGACATTCACATTTTAATTGTCTTGCCAACAATATCAATTCAAGCTAAACCTTCAAATCATAATATTCGGCACCTTATTTTCACGTTAAGGCGCGAGATATATATCACTTAAAAAGAAGAGCAAGGACATCAACTATTAAATCAATGCTACTGCATAATGATGCTAGATTATAATCTATAATTATAATCTAATAATAATTATTGGCCAATATTTATTGGGGACAAAGTACTTTTCATGCCTTCACGCATATTTGGGGACTGGGGTGAAAAGGTTCGGGTAAAACCGCGCATTGCGTATCATAATATATCCCACTCCGCATTCCGCGTATGTTCGTAGAAAGTCAACCAATAGCTCATTTATCGCAAGAGCTCTCCTAGAAGGATCCAAATCGACTGTTGCCTTCCAGATCCCTATTTCCTCTCTGCAGATTCGGCGTCGCAGTGCCGCGTGCGGTTAGAAATCCGCTGCTCTCGGTGCAGAGAGCCTGTTTTGGTCTGTTCCGCCGCCGCAGTCGGGGTAGAGGTCGGTCGGTCGGTCGGGGCGAGATCGGCCGGGCGGTCGGACGTCTCGGTCGGAGACAGCTCCCGGCAATATGTGCCGTCTGGCGTGTTTTCGTTGGAGGGCAGCAGCTGCGGGCCGCTGTCCTGCCGCGCTGTCCCTCCCCGCTCTACCCGGGGACGTCCCACGGCGCTGCGGCAGTACCCCTCTCTCTCTATCTCCGTCCTCCCGGTCGGGCCCATAGCGCCCCGGGCCATCAGTGGCCGCGGCAGAGGTGCTGGCGATTAACGGCACCTGTGCTGCCACCTGCTGACGCCGCCGTCAACTAGTCATTTTACCTGGCCTACCGGCCGACGCTGCCGTCGTCGCCACCGACAGCACTGGGGGCAGATTGACGCGTCCGACGGCGGGCAGCTGGGGACGGTCTGGCGGCCGTGATCACAGACCGCGCCGGCAGCGGGGCATGAGGAGAAAAGCCAGCGGTCGGGCGATGGTACCCAGCTGGGGCGCTCTCCATTAGCGGCTGGCGTGGCGACCAGCCACCGATCCGAGACCAATAGCCGTCAGGGAGAGAGAGAGGCACAGCCTCCGCGGGGAGCGGCCCCAGCGGCCACAGGGAGCGGTCGCAGTCTGCACGGAGAGCGGTCACAGCCTCTACTGAGAGAGGCTAGAGCGGCCCCTGCCTGCAGGAAGAGGAAGACAAGAAGTCGAAGTATCCGCGGACAGCGGCCACATCCTCCATAGTCCATAGAGGGCGACTTTTAACTTATCCACGAAGAGCGGCACCATGCCTATACAGAGAGCATGAGGGCATGTAGCCCCATGTTTGGAAACCTCAGACTACAGCCTTTAAGAGCATATGCCTACATAACTTGTTGACATACAGATACTCATCATTATGCAAATCCAGACAAGTGTAACTGATGCATAGGAACAAGCAAATTAACTCCAAATTATGCGTCTTGCAGGCTCTCGGTCCGCTTGAACAACAGTAGTATGTACGGGAATCGTGCAAAATCCGAACAAAGTCATGGGTAGCGACACTTCAGTTCAGCATGTAAGGAAAGACCAGCTGCTCGGCTGTACCAGATGACATAATGCCCATTCCGTACAGGATACTAGCATCCCATTCAGTCCATCAATCTTGACTTCATGATCAACAGTCCCTGGAAACTCATATATAACACTATCTTTAAAAATAACTTCGACCCAGGATTCGAAACTGGCTTTGAAACACACTGTACCACTAGCAGAGAATGCAATTGGAATTTCAAGGAATTAAACGTTATCACCCAATAAATCTGCAATTTCAAATACTTTAGAATGGCCATTCACTATGAAACATGTCATAGCATCCAGTTTCTGTCAAATCACTCACCTCCTATTTGACTCTCCATTTACCAGACACGTGCGAGTAACTCAGTGTTTCTTTCACACACTGGCTGACGGTCATATTCCAAAAGAACAATAGATCCCAGTTTCCCAAAGGTCTGGCGTAACTTCATACATCTTTCCGTAATCTACACCCTTACAAACCACGACCAAGCACAATGAAGCCAGTGTCTATGCAGACAGTGGCTGAGAAGCGGCATCCGTAGGACGTCTTTGTTAAACTGACTGCTGTTAATGCTCCTTCCTTCGACGACAAAGAGGAGTCAGCCGTCAGTGTGAAGTTGTAGGTCGTGCAGTGTGTAATCGCAAAAATAAAATAATGCATCGTGAGCAATCTTCATCTGTTGCAGACATCTGGCCACCACATTTAACATCTCCAAAACTCTTACTCAGCATTCACTCAACAATGTGGTGTGACGTCTCCTAGAATATACATTACACTCGTGTAAACCCAGTTAAAAAACAGCCAATGTTTCCTTGAAAGGGTTTAGAAAGCCTTCCTTGAGAACCAACTGTATGGTGCCAAAATTTAAATAATTCGTACCCATCTAGCGGCAATTCGGTGTGACTCATACCTACACTTAGGCCGTGAAAAGTTACTTGACGGTACTTCCCGGAATCATTAATAGCATTTCGTAATTGAATGTATAAGTGAGCGGAAAACGTGCTGAAAATTGGACACAGACCCCAAGAGCACGCTCTGTGGCTCCATCGATCTGTTTGATTCATTAATTAATCAAATCCCGGCGGCATTCATTCGCGGTGTGAAAAGCCCACTGATACACTGCGCCACCGCAGCTCAGAGCTGAGCTGCGGCCTTCGGCTCTGCGAGCCGAAGGCCTGCGGCGGCCGGCGATACTGCGCCGCAACGCAGCAATGTACTGCGGCACAGGCTAACGCGCAGGCGAGCGGAGCGCTCACACGAATGGAGCAGGGAGGAAGCTGCAACAGACTCGTACGAACGGGACGGGGAAACAGCTTGCACACTGTACAGAGTGGCGGACCACGAATTTCAGATAGGTACCTTGTCAGTGATTTACAGGGTAAAAGAAAATGCAATTGTTAATTATATTCAAACCATGCGTACGGAAAATAAAGATGTGGCAGGTCGGATAAGGAAGAGATTGCCGCTGTTTGTCGCCTAAAAAAGAAGAGGAAAGAAACGCATCCACATTCGCAGACGGTGGGATTAATAGAATTGCCGACATATGATACAATTTTCATTATTTTCAACGCCATACAAAACCAACTAAGACAAAAATAGGTGTGCAGCGTACTTACATTGAAAGACAGCCATGTTGCTTGCCAAGGATTACAAAAGATGACATCGCTTACCTATATTTGATTTTGTTTTCGTCAAGTGTATTTTGATAAGGAGCTGCAACGATCGCAACGTCTTGAACTTCAACGATGCCCGATACGCTGCGACATTCCGTCTTTATCATTTAAAAGTACAAATTCGGTTCACTTACCTGGTTTATTGACTTCAATGCATGCATTAAACAATTTAATAAGGGTTTCGCAATAAGTGCCATAATGACCTCATTACATGACCAAATGACTGAGATTCGGACAGATATGCGCCGCTGGTTACCGTTGGTACGGTCCAGGCACGTATTGAGCGCGACGTCTGTCCTGTGTTCGCGGAGCGTGCGTGAGACTGACAGGATTACAGCGGCACGCACAGTCTCAGTCGTCGCCCCAACCCCTTCTGCCCCCTCCCTCCTCACCCCCACGGCGCCTGGCCCGCGGACCGTGAGGCATGCGTGACCGCCCGGCCAAAGGCGTTGACCTCTGCCCCGGAAACAGAGTCATTCTCGCTAAATGGGAAACGTCCATCGACCAGTGCCATGTGTCAGGGTGAAGATGACCAGTTCTGAAGTGAAGTCAAGCCGGCGACATTTGCATTTAAAGGCCCGAAATAAATCCCACTTTCCTGTCAAAGCGCTGCGCAGACGGTTACCGTCAATTCGCCGGTCCCGGACGCGGCGGAAAGTCGCCTGATCGGGCGGCAGTGTCGTTTCCCGGATATCGGAGCCGGTCGGACCATCCGGCAATGAGTTGTGGCGTCTCAACAGCCTCTCCGGCAGGCTCTTCACCAGGCTCTCCGGACGGCACCTCGAGCCCGAGTTACGACCGTTCGTAAGTCGACGGCTGGCGGCGGCCGCCCGATAGCAACTGGTGACAATCCCACTCAGATCCCCGGCCCAATCAAGACGTCCTCTCAACAAGCCGGAGCCGACGCCGCCGTTGGCATGCCGATGGCGTCGAACGCCTGTCGAATCCCGGCTGACTGATCGGCTCACAACCGGGCCCGCTACATCAAAGCTGGATCGACAGACGCACGGCCATGTCGGGTCGGACACTGCCGGCAGAGTCGGCGATTTACGCTCGTGGCCGGCCCGGTGGGCAGGTTCATCAGGCATGCTCGACAGGTCGATACGGGGCCGGCGTCTGTCTAATTTGGCCCGGAGTGGCCCGCCCACCGTCTGGCCACGGGCGATAGTTGCGGCTGCTATCGCACACATACCAATGCAGCGTCAAGGAGGACGGAGCTAGAGCTCTGTCATGAGGAGCAGCGGAACACGAGGCTCAGAAGAGGCCCGAGCGGAAGGAAGGTACGACTGAAAATGTTATTTATTTTCATATGGAGATAAATAACCATCGGAATGATAAAAAAGTAAATAATGCATGACCAGCTCGATCTTACGATGAATTATGGATTGGATGCGTGCCGTGGGTGGCGGTATATTTTAGTGGAAGACGTGGAGACATAGAATGTACAATACTATCCACATTATTTATCAATTATCATTATTGGTCAGACAGCTGTCATTCTTTTCTGCAGAGCATCTCACTCATTGTTACATAAATCAAGGCAGGCTCATTTTTAGCACAATGCATGCGAATATATCGGTTCATGAATCGCGCCATAAAAAGAACATGTAGAAAACATTAAGCGGTCCGTTCAGAAGTACTCATAAATGTATCCGTATAATAAAGACACAATGAATAAATTTTCATCTACGGTTCCATCTGCAAGAACCTGTATCTGAAGCCTGGTACAACACTAATGGCCTTGTTTGAAAGTCGCTGTGATATGTTTTACACAGACGACACCAAAACTATTTGCATGACTGTAAACACTACACAGTCGGGCCGACCAACTAGCTAGACTGAACTTTCCCTGAAGGGTCCCTGGAGAGCCCCTGCAGTATACTGTATTGCCGCAGCACTATGCCACAATGCCACATTGATTCCACCGTCGGGGTCGGTGCCTGTGACAGTGACCCTGGCGTTAGTTGTTGTGTTGCTGTCAGTGTTCCTGTTGTTGCCGGTGCTATCGGTGGTGCTGGTGTTGGTGTCGTTGTTTCGGCCGGTGCCGTGGTGCCTGTGTCTGTGTCGCTGTCTGCGCCGGTAGCATGTCGGCGCCCGTGTTACCGGTACCGGTGCAAAGACCGTTGCAGGGCTGTGCGATGTTGCTACTGTCTGGTGTCGTGTCGCTCTCGGTTCTGGTATCGTTGCCCGTGCTGTGTCGCTCTGAGTGTCCATGTTCGTACCCGTGCCGCCGCCGGTGTCGGTATCCGCCGTTCCCGTGCCGCCGCCGGTGTCGGTGTCCGCCGTTCCCGTGCCGCCGCCGGTGTCGGTGTCCGCCGTTCCCGTGCCGCCGCCGGTGTCGGTGTCCGCCGTTCCCGTGCCGCCGCCGGTGTCGGTGTCCGCCGTTCCCGTGCCGCCGCCGGTGTCGGTGTCCGCCGTTCCCGTGCCGCCGTCCGTTCCCGTATCCCTGGCGAGTGGCGGCCAGCACTGGCGGCTCCATGCCACCGGCTATTACCGCTGTCATTGATTTGCGGACACAGAAAGGCTAGCCCGACGGGCGACAGCACCAGAAGTGGCGGCCGCCGTCGGGGCGGGCCCGCTGACGGATCGGCGCCGCCCGATGACCGAGTGACGCCGCCCGATGACGCCGTGACGTCACGCTGACGGCCCGAGACGCAGCGCACGGGAACGGGTGAGCGCTAGCCGACGCCCCCGGCGCCGCAACAGGTCATGTGTGGAACCTGCTGTCCAGATGCAGATCTGATGAGAATGGTGTGACTTGTACACGTTACAGCGGCCGTCGCATAATTTTCATGTCGAGCCACCAAGACTTTTACTTACCAGGACGCCGTGATGAACGAGGTGATGCGTTTCAGACGGCGGACCATACACTTATACAGGATACGCTGCCGGTGGCAGTACGCGAACTTACCTGAAATAGAAAGAAACACGTCATCAGTAAGGAAGTCACGATAATCGTTACGTCTAATCTCGGGAAAGTCGGGAGCCTACTGAATATGTGTCATCCTGGACAGTCCCCTGCCGACAATATTAACTGTAACTTATGCAGTTAGCATCACAGAGGACATACAAAACAGGCTTAGGAAAAAATGGGCCGAGTCACTGTCGATATAATCATAGAGTCAATGACACACTATGTATGTTACCTGTTCGAGTCCAATCAATACCAACGAAAGCTAACGTTTCTTTCTACACAGGCGTGGAACATTTGCACAGGAAAACATTGTTTTCGTGTACAGTTTAATCTATAACATATTGATCAAAGTTAAGATACATTTTTTTTCATTTTGTAAGGTCTACAAGAAAAATCCTTCCCATTCTTTACTGAAGCTGTATATTCTGCGCATGTATGTGCCGCATTGTTTATTCATTTGCGCCGGGCCGGGTAGCCGCGTGCCCGGCTCCATTACTGCAGTCAGCGAACGAGTGGCTGATGAAGACAAATTTGACAGCGGCCCGCCTGTGGTCAGTCGCCCCCCCCCCCTCACAGAGTGCGGCGGGGGGGGGGGCGACTGCCTCCGTCGCTCGCAGACGGAGGAGGACGGCCGCGCAGCCCAAGTAGCCAGCTCGTCCGACGGACGGTGAGGTCCCCATTACTCGCCTATTATCGTCATCTGATTATCGGATAGGCCGTGATGGGATTAGCTGGCGTCAGAGCGACTAGGCAGGTCCTCCGCCAGGCTTCGCCACGCCTTCGGACAGACAGAGGGGAGGGAGGACAAGGAGAGAGAGAGAGAGAGAGAGAGAGAGAGAGAGAGAGAGAGAGAGAGAGGGGGGAGACGGACAGGGGGCGGAGACGGCACCGCCGACTACAGGCCGGGCGGGGCGGCTGAAAATGGACCGGGGCGGGGCGGCGCCCACTCCCTGCAGTCGCTGTGCCTCCACACTGAACAGTGACAGCACCCGGCAGATATACAGCAGATATACTGCGAGGGACGTGAGGTAGAGAACCGGGCCGACGGTGGGAGTGGGTCTGGCCGGCCACTTTTATTTTAGTGACATAAACAACCAGAAAAAGGAAACTGTGGAGTAAAAAAAAACACACACACAAAATAAGATAGCGTTGGAAATATTCATATAAAACCGCAGTATATGATCCTAATCCCCCCCCCCTGAATTCGCCCTTCACTACGTCTCAGGCGGTCATACAGTCGGTCCCTGGGTAAGCGGCTCCCTGTCCCGCTGCCCTGGACGTGTCGGCCTGACCCTGACCCGCTGGGAGCGCAGGTGCACCGGTCGTACAGAGGCCGAGCCGCTGTCCTCTCGCAGGGGCCGGCTAATCAGCTAATGGTGAACACCGGCTGCCGTGCTGTCCCACCATAGTCAGCAGACAGTAGCCCGAACCAACCCCGCCGGTCGGGAGCGGTGGACCGCCGCCAAACGATCGCCTTCTCCCTTCAGGGCCCCCTGATCGGTGTTTAACGCCGTGTTTAGCATGGGCGGCGCCACCGGGGGGGACGGGGGGGACAGGTCCCCCGCTATCGAAAGTTAGGGGGGTACAGTACCCCCCCTATCGGCGAGGCCCGTTCAATAGTTGATAATAATGCATTGTAGAGTTATCCGTCGCATTTAATGCATCGTTGGTTAATCAAGGCAGGTTCTGAATAAAGATTGCTGTTGGGATGTATCGCAGGGGGTCCTGGCCATCTGCAAAAGGTGTGGAGCTGTGATGCCTGTAGTTATAAGGTGATCGGCAGGGCCTCGGGGATCGTGCCCCCCCCCCTTTTTGGGGCGCCATTACCTCCCCACCCCACTGCCAAACCCCATTGCCGACAAAACCAAGTTCACTGAAATTTCATAGATTTCCGTTACTATATGGATATTTTCCATTCCTAATTAGTCAAATTCAAGCATGGCAGTTCCACCACAGGAACCATTTGAAATCTATGCCATTTAACCCCAGCACTTGTGGGGAGAAGTGTTCGGATAGATCACAGGCAGGACTAAAGAAGCACGCAGTAGCCCAAGACCTTATAATTGGATAGCATCGGCTCCCTCTCGTCAAGGGGTTCGATAGCACTCGTTTTTTTTTCTCTGCAAAACTAAGTTCGGTCGGCGGCCGAACGGCTGGGGGTCTAATCGAGCCTCCCACCCCTCCCCTTCTTACGTCAGCGGCTGTGAAAATGCCATTACCAGCTGTTGAAACATGGCAGTTGCTTTTGCATGAGTGCACGAAAGGGTTTTAGGTACGTGATACGTGAAAGGTTTCACATGAAAATTGAGATACACCAGCTTATCAAATTGTGCTCACTGTGGTGCGCTCGGTTTTACCTTGACTAGTCTGTGAATTCTGGGGTGAAACAGACCAGTCAAGAAACCTGTTCCATAAGGAGAGCCACTTATGCTAAAGAGATGAGGGATGAGGTTTCCAGAGGCCTTCATTACCACCCAAAGGGGGTGCCCCGCCGGCCCCCGCCATTTGCCAATCCCTGCTGTAGTTGTTACGATTGGAGGGTGAATATGAGAACGATGCAGGTCGTGCCAGCTCGATCATGACGAACACAATGGTACAGACATCACAGCTCTACTGCCATTTTTGACGAAGTTAATCAACAAGGACCGGAATCCTACCCTGGGGCATTTCACCTGCAGAGGTCGCCGGACCTGAGAGTTGAGACCCTTTCACTCAATTTTTTTTTTTTCAACGGTACATGCGCTCGTTTTTCCCGCGAAGCTCTTGGCAAGTAAAATCCATCAGAAAGTGTGATCAAATAACGGCTGATGACCTTCCATGACCTAGCATGACCTTTTGAGTGACCACCGATGACATGACCACTGACGGCTAGCCATTAGCTGCACCCTGCCCGTTGCATATGGATCAGGTGGTGATGTCATGATTCTGAAATTATATTGCAGTTTTGGCGCACTTTTCCTCCATGACTATATGATGGTGAAGCCCTGAAGCTGACGAGACGTAAGATCGAAAATTTGAAAGTACGAAACGTAAGAATAGTTGGCACTGCTACTCATAAGTCATACCTAAGCAATTCGCAGCTTGTAGGAAACCAGCTTTGAGTTGGCAAGACTGCAAATTTTGATTTAGAGGCAAGGATGCTTGAAAAGGTGATCGATCTTAGGTGTCCTAGGATAAGTTTGGAAACGGGATTGGCAAGACTGCAAATTTTGATTTAGAGGCAAGGATGCTTGAAAAGGTGATCGATCTTAGGTGTCCTAGGATAAGTTTGGAAACGGGATGCACCATTCGATGTGTTTTGGGCTTTGCCAAGTTTTGGCGGCGTTACGTGCCTCGTTTTTTTTTTTTGCATACACGATCAGTATCTACTTTTGGGATTTTCGATTTTCGGTCCCCGTCCCCCCCCCCCCCTATCGAAAACCCGTGGCGCCGCCCCTGGGTTTAGAGAGTGTTTGTTGCTCTTTGGTGATGAAACGGTTGAGTAGAAATGTAATCAGAAATATTTCGGATATTCAAGATAAAGAATTATACGAAGTCACATCCACTAGAAATGTTTTCATTCCTTGGATTATTGGAACAAAAACATAAAGGGTAGCGAAGCAGCACAGCGAAAAATAAGAGCAATATTGCACCAGATCAAAGGGCGAATAAAATAACAAATACTGGCGGGAAGATAGCATTGGTTTTCGATAGACAAATCGACATTACGGTCTGACAATATGGCTACTCATGTGTAGAGCTCACCGATGTAACAGACTCGAAAATCGGGCACTAGGCGGTGATCTCCTCTCCCCCTGCACCCCACCTTCCTGTTCCGCCGCCTATGATGTTATCCATTATATCCTCTAATTGCGTGAAAGGAAAATCACTGAACCGGGCAAAGGGCAAACGTCAAGATTAAAGGCTGTCGTGACGTGCATGTCACTTGGTTGAAAGGCCACTTTGTACTATGTCTCTCTTCCACAGCGTATGCTTTAACGAAATAGCTTATTTATTCAATGAAATATTTGAGCTTTTGATATAAATCGAAACTGTTACTGTTTCTGATGCTTGACACTGAGTTCCCCTCGCCTCCATATCAAAGTGTTTGCTTATCGACATCACAAAACATGACTTTTAATAGTAACAAAGCTTCTTTTAAAAAAAAGTTGGAAAAATATCACGGGCTTTTGATAATCGCCAACCAATAGGTCGGCTCTCAAATCATTGAGAACGGTTACTAAAGGTGCTGCGTCAAAACAACTCAAGATGGCATTAATGCAAAATTATCACACCTTAGACAGACACCACCAAAAGTGTCAAAATATTTCACCCCACTCTTGAGGGTAACTCCCCGGACCTTGCCTTTCTGAGAAGCTCTGGTAGGTTGGCGGCTACATCAGCTCCAGTGATACATGCATCACATGCTGGTGATTCAGGGCGGACTCTTTTCGCCGTCCCGCCCTCCCGATCCCAGCCTCGCTGCGACCCTATTGATTGCTTGACATACACAGAAGCCATTGTTTTATAAACAAGCCCGGTCCCGATCCAGCATGGCGTTTCCGCTATTTACAAATTGTGAGCGGCTGATTCGAGCCAACTGCGGACAGTCCCGTCGCGTCGCGCGGACACCCAGTCGCGGCGGAAGTCGCCTCTCCTCGGCCGGCGAGGCACCACTCTGTCTGCCTGCGGGTCTGCCTCTTCTGGGCCAAGTTGCCCCATCTGCTCTGTGCTGAGAGCCCACTCCCGACCTCTTCAGGCTCCGTCGGACGGCTGAGAGCCACTCGCCGGCTCTCAGTGTCCAAACTTTCCGAACCACCTCCCACATTCTCTCGAGCGTGATCCCCTGTGATCCGGTCCGTGTTAGGAGCCGTCGGCGCCGACACCTCACAAAGCCGCGTCGGCCGCGACGGGACGACCTCCGGCGCCCGGCAGACCGAGAGGAATGGGGCTGGCCGGTCATGGAGCGCTGGGATAGAGATGTCTGCAGCTGCGGCCTGTCTGTCCGTCTGCCTGTG